TTGAGTTGTTGGTGGTGGTTGGGTTGTTGCTTCTTGAGTTGTTGGTGATGGTTGGGTTGTTGCTTCTCGAGTTGTAGATGGTGGTTGGGTTGTTGCTTCTTGAGTTGTTGATGCTTCGTCTGTTGATGTTTCACCTGTTGATGTTTCGTTGGACTCTTGAGCTTTACAAGGAGGGATTAAAAACAATCCCAAAAACAAAATAATTACTAAAAGAAAATGTACGATTTAACAATCATCAATTGTAGAAAAAAATTTCATAATACCTAGTTTAAACATTGTCGTAGATATGTGAATGTGAGACAACTCAAATTGTAGTGGATTTTATACAACGATATTTCACTCGACGAAAAGTATCTATGTATACGTTGCTGCAACAATATATTATGGTAATTATAAATGGGACGTATGAGTTCTTAAAGGTAAATCTTTTGAAAAGGAAGAAAAGAGAAAAAACTGTTGATAACAAAGGACGGTAGAATCAGTCATGTTTATCTTATGTTTAATAAAGTATGCAACATAAAATTGTTTGATGTCAAGACAACAATCTATATCAAAATTTATAAAGGACACAGATGATGACGTACACACGAGCCATCGTAGAATATGACTACAGTACAGCCATATTAATACACAGAAAAAAGATAACATATACATTCTATGTCTATTTTAAATGAAAGAATGGTGTGGTACTTATTTTTTCTTGTCATATTTGTCGCTAATTTATATAAAAATGAGTGAGAGAAAATAAATTAACAATAAGAAAAAGATTAACTATATTCTACAGAAATTAGTTTAAAAGTGTACTTTTTATGACTAATAACATAATCATTCTTTAGTAAAAATGATTATACTATATTTTTTATTTAGCTATATTAATAGCTAACTTCTATGTATTGAATCAAGTAACATTCTATTAAAATTTCTCAGAGAGAAATTGACCGATCAAATGAAATGTTTCTCATTGAAAGAAAATTGTTAATGCAGAATGATTTCACAATAATATCTATATTTGAGAACAAAAATCTTCATGTTATTTACTTTACTCAAACAAATATCATTTAAATATAAAACATAAATAAGTTTCGAAATTTCAAAATTACAGCATCGTTTTCATTTCGTAAATATAGTAATGAAGTAATCTATATATATAAAGAAGAATGTTCGTTTGTTCTTTATGCATTCGAAGACCGGACGAGCAAATGCAATGAAACTTTCCGGAAATGATGTCTACACCTACGGGACGGTCGATATGTACTTATTTTCCGAAAAAAAAATGAATCCTACGCTTGCTACAGGCAACCTATAAAACTGACCAACAGGATTGCAGCATTTCAAAAAGTTTAAAAAAACAGCTAGCGAAGGCGGCCGAAGGCCGTCTGAGCGCACACCTTCTGTTCGTTATGCATTCGATCCCTGTAATAGCTATGATCACTAAAGTTTCCATGACGCTTTCTTAGGTCCTAAGAACGGTTGACGGAGATTAACATAGTCATCGGAGTGGGAGGGATCGTGATTGAAACTTTACCCAGGTGATTCTGTGGTAGCTAACGTCACCGAACCATCAATTATACTTCTGTATATACAAGGAAAAGTGGCGAGGGCGTCGGATACGGAAGGTGCTTGAAATATAAATATTTTGCAGTGGGAACCGTATCAGAGTGATTTTATAGCGACAACTATATGAGAGAGAGTTTGCAGAGGGAACTGTAAGACAAGGATTTTGCAGCGAGAACTGTGTAAGAGAGAATTTGAAGCAGGTACTTCCTCTAGTTATGTATATAATACAACACATAAAGAGAATATACTGTCAGTATATTAATACTGTTTTGTGAGATGAAAACATTGTTTCAGTCGGATAAGAATCTGCTTTGCGAAGAATAATAATGCTATAAATACAATATGATCGTTAGTTACAACAAAACTGCTGATTAATAAACTATTCTCATCATAAACTTGTTTTTAAACATGGCGAATTACACGATAAAAATAGTGATAGTTCATACATTTTTTACATTTATAATAAACTTTTTTCTTCATTATTATTAATGATGTTCGAATTATTCATCGAATCTTTGTAAAAACAAAGTTTATATATGAATATGATGTGTAATAATTACTAGTCTTCACACTCTTTGCCAATCGATTATACTGGATCATTTAAAAATACATAAAACTATTCGTAATTATCATTTTCTCTCTAGAATTTTTGTTTTCATTAAAACTGTCAATCTTATATCAGATTGAACGATATTTATTCAAAAATTTTTACATTTAAAAAAAGATTACGATATCACTGCAGTTGCATATACAATCATTGATTATGTTATTTGCGATTTTATTCAACATTATGTTAGATATTTGACCTAAATCATGTTATTATTATTTCAAATATTGTATACGTTTATTAGTGGTCATTTTGAAAATATAGTCAATAAAAAAATGTTAGAAAATGTGTCATTACTAATGCGTACTCAAAAAGGAATATTTTTATATTTCTGTTTGTATATGAAGTCGGCCATTGGTTATTAGTAAATATTACAATCTATATTTTTTTTCTACATTTA